AGGGGGTGGGGGGGGGGGGGGGTGGGGGGATGAGAGCTGAAATGTAACTTTATAGTCCAAAGTGGTTTTTGGTATCTATGTAGCTGTTCTGCATCTACTGTTTCTCATTTTGTGGCTTTTTGTAGTGATCAGACTCACTTTCCAATGGAAAGGTTAACAGTCCCTTCACAGTTCTCTAAGGGGATCTAGGGGCCCCCTGACTCCTTAGACCCCTGACCCTGAGTTCAGTAATCCATCCATGATTAGATCATCTATATATTACATTATAAAGCTTTAATCACTCCAGCTGTAACCTGGATGTATTCTCGGCTGCAGCCCCTCCTGTGTCCCAGCCTGTAGTACTGTGTGCACTCTGTACTCATTTACCTCCAACGGGGTGAAAGCGTAGTTCTCCAGGAAGGACAACCCGATGACTGGCACCAACAGAAACTCCACCCGGAACGTGTCGTTCTCCGAGTTGTACGAGTTCCTGAAGCGCATGTAGATTAGGTAGACGGTGGCGTAGGACAGAGCCAGGAACACCACCTGGGAGCAGGGATGAGTTACACTGGGAAACAGTTTGTAAGACCTGCAGCCTGCTAGTGAGCCTGTAGGTCATTTAGCCTAGGCTCATTTATGTAAATGAGGTGGACAAAATAACAGAAACACCTATCACTGTAACAGTCCAGTTGAACACCAGCACGCCACTGTGATCACACAGGTGAATTAACACCTGGGCTCACTACAGGTTAAGAGAAGGCATCTGGGGATAATGCACGTGCATGTGTGTGTGAAATCTAAACACCTACCTTCATGACCGTGTTGTAAACAGAAATGAAGACTGTGAACAAGTCCAGGTACCTGGTGGTGAAAACCAGTGCAAACAGCACCTGAGACTTTCCAGAGATGCCTGGGGACAAAAACACATTAAAATGAGATTATTCCTTGTTTAAGGCCGATGAGCTCAGCAGCAGAAGGCTGGCGGAAGGTCCCAGACACAACCCGGACACAACACAGACACAAGCAGAACATCACACAGCAGCTGCAGCAGGCGGCAGTTTGCTGTAACGTTGCCACGTAGCGCTAACTCCTGCAGCATTAGACAAACGCCCTGCACAATGCACATATCAGACATGTACAGACCCGGATCACTGTGTTTGTGAACACTGACACACTCTGAACTGCAGCTGCATGCGTGGTGCTGCAGGCTGCACAGTCTCAGCCTACCTGCGCAGGACTTGGACCTCCAGATCTTCAGCAGCAGGATGATGATAGCCACCAGATGTGACACGTCACCTGCCAACCGAAAGACGTTCATGCTGTTTTTTTTTGTTCCTCTTCTACAACAAAACTGTAAAACAACTCTTCACAGGCCTCCCACGTCCACAGGAGCCAGGGTGCAGACACAAGACAGACTTTAAGAAGCCAAAGCTAAGGAGAAGCTACCAACTGCGCAGTCCGGCCGCTCGGTGGCTCCTGGTCTCAAACGCATGAACATAAAATGCGAATTATTCCGCGCGCACACCGAGCTGTCTGAGAGAAAAGTTGTTTCTGAGGAGATGACGTGGCTGACAGCTCTACCAGCAGGAACCAGACGGAACCAGCGTCAAGTTTACCCGGATATGGCCGGAAGATCAAACACCTGCAGCAGTTTCCGGTTTTGATTTTTCAAAGTAAAATTCGCGTTAGTCAACACGCAAACTTCCTTTGATCATTTACCCGATTAAATGAAAAGTCGACATGTTTTTACGGTTAAGATAACGACACATTTCACATAGACAACTATTATCAGGCGTTTCGTTGTTTTAAAAGATGCCGTTGTTTTATTCGAAATCTCCACAACTTCCGGTGTTGCTCAAGTCTCTGGTAAACTTGATGCAAGTAGGAACTGGTAGAAGTAGTCAGATTGTTTACTTAAGTAAAAGTAGGAATACCATAGTTTAAACATACTTTGCTACAAGTAAAAGTCATGTACTCAGAACGTTACTTGTGTAAAAGTACAACAGTATTGGCATCACAATATACTTGAAGTATCAACAGTGATGTTTTACTGTTTTACTGTAACAATATAAGTGTAAGACAGACTTCTTTCTCAATTGCACAAATCCTTCAACAGAACATTTGAAAACCACAATTCTGGTTGCGTACCTTTATCCTTTGCTCGTTTCTCCTCTTCGTTTCTCTTTTTCCTAAATTAGGCATCTGTCAGCTTTGACCTTTTTCTCTCCATCGCTCTGTTTTTTTTTGTTTTTTGTTTTTTTTTGCAATTGACAATCAACAGATTTCCCATCCCCCAAACACTGTTATTCACGACCAGAAGTCAAGACTAAACCAATTCACCTCGTATTACCTATTTTTATTAGCCTTTTCACACAATTTGGAAAAAACGTGCAAATTATAGGTCTGTGTTTATAATATTATGAATGAAATGTGCGTTATGTGGAAGAAAGTCAAGGGGTCACTGACTTAGTTTAGCCTACTAAGTGGAGTAGGCAAAAGTACCAGTACTCATCCTGCAGAACGGCCCGTGTCCCAGTAATGTCTCTGATACTGGATCATAGTGACTAATGCATTACTGTGTCCATCACTTTAATGCAGCAGGAAACAAATTCTGTGAGTCAATTACTGAATTATAGTATTATTATTATCATTCTGGGATTATTTTATGCCTTTATCATACAGCAGCAGTGGAGAAATGACAGGAAAATGCAACATGAGTTTTTAATGAGAAAGACCCAGCAAGTCCATAACTTTAACATCACAAATTGTTTTAATCAAAAGCACATTTTTATTTATTTTAATACAACCAGCTGTTTTATCCAAACCTTCTCTGGTTCATGGCAAGCAGAGGTGAAAGCCAGCATTGATTCGTTTTCACACAGTACACAATGTTTCAACAAAGACAAGAAGAAGTGAAGTGAACCTCAGAAGTATCTTTAACTAGAATCAGATTATCAGTCCTGCTCTTCATCATTATCACAGTTGTCTCCTTTTACCACAGTGGGAAACACACAAAATAAAAGTTTACATTCAGCAACAGCAAAGAAAATATTGATTACAGGCCCAGAGTCCCAACATAACAGCCTTTAATGAGAAAAACCCAGCAAGTCCATAACTTTAACATCACAAATTGTTTTAATCAAAAGCACATTTTTATTTATTTTAATACAACCAGCTGTTTTATCCAAACCTTCTACATACAGACCAGTTGGCTCTTTTCAGTAGGTAGTTATGTTCAGGATCTGATGAAAGTGGACTGAGTGTGAGTGTGTGTGGTTGTCCACATGTCAGCCATGTGACAGACTGGTGACCTGTCCAGGTTGGACCCCACCTCTCACCCAGTGTCAGCTGGGATTGGCTCTAACCACTGCTGTGCTGTGCCACCCTCATTAACAAACTAACTATGATCTAAATAACAAAAGTTACAGAAATGTAAAAACCTGGCTTCTGTATTTAATGAAATCTGAAGTCGGATGAGCCAAACATTTTGCTTCTTGCTCAGTAATAAGGATCACACAAGTCTCCACTAAGTGTCACCCATCACATCCCCTGTGGATTTTGTGTTGATACCCTTCACTAGCCCCAGTGCACCACTGTGTCTCTGGTGACGCTCCACTTCGCTTCATCCCCAAAATGGCAAAGGAGGCGAGTTCCCATGGAAACTGGCTTTGGTCAAAGTCCCCGGTTTTACCTGGTGACCATTAACTGGCTTGTGCTGTGAGTCTCTTCTGTACTGTAACACAGCTGCTTCTCCAGGCCTCCTCTCATTAAAGGTTAGAGAGCTTCTACATCAACATCATCCACTGTGGACTGCTGGTGGCTGCACCTTCCTTTTACTGACGCAGCTCAGAGGTTATTTCACAGCTGGATTGTTGGCTGGAAGCCAAGGACGCCTGTGTGCAGACAGACATGAAACACGAAAATAGAAACAGATAAGCCTGAGTGAGTGTCACTGTTTTCCAAACATACATCACTTGTCTCTTGATTTTATATTAAACTTTTAAACAAAACCTTTTACACAAAAAAAGGTAAACTACTGCTACAGTACAACCAATGACAGCCTTCAGCATGTATTTACCATCAGGTTTGTGTCGCAGGTATTATGATGGAAAGATTACGTGGCAGGAGTTTCTTTGTATGTGTGGACAGACCATTTTCTCTAACAACAACAGACTGCTGAGGTCTGTAAGAGCAAGCAGAGATCTAAAGCCACGACAGAGGACACAGTCCCATGTCCCACCTCGTCCACCTACAGAGTTGGATCTGAAGGGATATTTCTTGGTGATGTGACTGATGTAAAGAAATGTAAACTGCTTTCGTCTTGCCAGTGTTGTTTTATATCCATTAGATTTTTTCCACATTGACATTAGGCATTAAAAAGAGAAGAGGATATTTTCCTAAATAACTTCTGCCACATATGACCACATTCTTTGAAGAGTCTCTGGCAAACTGCTGATGGGCTTTTGGCTCTGGACTAGCAAAGTCCAGAGACTTGTGTCATGTTTCAGACTGCATCTACATTTTGCATTGTTGAAAGTCTACTTTACTTTTTGTGAAAGCAGTTGGATGTACTACTTTTCCTTATCGAAGAGGACAAAGTTCACAGACTTACATTTTTATGATACACTTTTGTTCATGGTTCGTGGTCGTCATGTCTGCAAGAATTCCCTGCAAAGTCCACGGTTTGCACGTTTGTGAGACCACCTTAAATCTTTTCCTGAACATCATAAAAACACTCCCTTTATCTAGGCACTTTAATGTGCATCAGCAAGAACCTAGTAAGCAATAAACCTAGGAACTAGGAACACAGATATTTTACATTTTAAAAGCATATATTGTCTTTTGAAGAGAGTTGAGTTTAAAGTCTGACCAGAGGTCGCTGTGACGTTACTTTGCTCACAAAAAACACAAATCTCAATTATAAAATGACAGAAGTTCTCATTTGAGCAGAAAATGTGTTTCTGTGAGATGATGTCAGTCAGAGAAGCTGAGTGAGAACACAGGACGTCAGGGCCTTTGTTAATCAGTCTCACCTGCACATGTCCTGCAATGTGCTCTAACTGGGCTCAGATCCTAAATGTGGCTGCTAAACCTGTTGGTTTTGTTTTCTACTCCAGAGACCAGTAGCAAACAGTCTAGTATTAGTTTATTCATAATGAAATCTACAGTTAAGTTGCTTAAGACTAATGTGAAAATGTGAAAATATACAATGTTCAAAAGGCTTCGACTGGCAGCGTGTGACTCTATAACAGGAGGAGCTGACCTGAGTACAAGAAAGCAACCAGTGTTTTGTTTCCTGCTTTGTATTAAACTTATGTTTGCTCGGAGATAAATCGCACTCAGAAGACTATTATTATATTTGAAATGAGCTGAAAAGAAAAAATCTTAAATACAAAGCCCTTTTTTCTTCCTTGTGTACATTTTGATGTTGCAAATAAATACTTATATAATTTTGGTTGATTCTCTGTGAGACAGTCTGATGTCGAACTGTGAAGCTGCCGTGTGCAGTTCGCTGTGTCCTTACGGAGCCACTAGATGCCCCCGAAGCCATTTCTGCTGCAGAGGGCTTCAGCAGAAAACCCTGAGCCTTGTGACCCCTCTAGTGGAGCAAGTGCAGAATTTCAAACTCTGAACTGAGAACGCTGAGCCCAAAGTCTTGGATGTTATGAGAAAAAGACAATAAGACTGAAATATCCCAAAGAAAAATGTTCAATGAGTTCTGGCCTCTAATAGCTACGTGTTGGTTGAGCATGTAAACACAATGTGACTGACTTTGTTCACGCCAAGAGCTCCAGACATCAGCACGTCCTGCAAATGTGCTGAGAGTGGCTTCGATTCGACTGGCTAATCAGGTACAACAACTAAAACCAACTGTGTGAGCTTACTATAGGTGTGCAGCGCCTTTAGAACAGCTAATCATTTATACACAGAAGAAGTAACCTACGTGACTCAAACTACTGGCGATGACATCATGTGGAAACAAACTAGGCCTTTTGTTTTTAGGTTTTAGTAAAACAGTGTTTTTGTGCATAAATGACTGTGTAAGATAAACTTGTCTACTGGCTTCACTGCAGGTTGTTCTTTGATAGGCAGCTGTGATTTTAGACACACCCACAGGGCTAAGGTGTTAGCTCTAGCAGAAGAGAGAAAAAGAAGACTCTCCTAACACGGGACAGGTTAAAAGTCAGTCAGTATTTTGTAATTCTGTGGTGCTGCTGGAAATAAAGAGTCTGTGCAGAGACTGGTTGTACCAGCGAGGACAGTTCAAAGAAGCTAAACGTCAGTGCAGACAGACCCGGGCTCATCTCCACCGTTTCTGACAGGCTGGATATCAACAGCATAGAAGCACAGCCAGCTGTGTTTGGTCCTCTCCTTACACCTCTATGTAAAGTCAGTCAGAACATGTCTCCATCACATAATGAAATCCTTTTCTTCCATCTTGCCTGTTTTATATTCTCCCCAGATTATAATCAAGTTAAAATCACCCAGTGACAGACTAATAAGAGACTTCCCCCATCAGCCCTCATGGTTGCCCTGTCTTGATCTTCCTTTAATTACATATCCTCCATCTCTGCCTGTCAGTGTGTCACTGTTCCCATGAGCCAGCGCCCCAGCAGCACAAACTGCCCACATGTTGAGCCTCCAAACCTCAGGAGAGGATGAGAAGATGAAAAGAGGGGAATCAGGAGGAAGGGGCGAGCTGCTCAGTGAGCGCAGGCCTCGAGGCTATCAGCTTTTCATTAGTGACTCAGTGAGTGAGTGAATGAGTGTGATCGGTGGAAGGGTAAAACAGGAGGAGCCGTGCTGGGCCACATTAGCTACGAGGGTAATTTAGGGGCTCCCACTGACTCCTATTGTGTATTGTCTCCAAAGTGAGCAACCGAGGCCTAACAGTGAGCCTTTGTGTGCGACATTTAACTGCCTGTTAGCATGCTAATTATGGGATGTGTGTGTGTCTGTGTGTGCCAGCGTGTGTCCATCATCTTCTGGTCTTTTCCATCCCTCCATCTCTTCCCTGGGATTTACAGGCCTCTAATACTTCTGCTTCTCTTCCCCAAGAGCATGAATGCCCCACTGATCTCTGTGTCACTGCTGTGAACCCGTTTCAAGCTCCTTCCTGTTGTTGCCATTTTCTTCGGCTCTGTCTTTATTCTTACATCTGTGTGCTGGCAGCCTCTTGGTTTTAACAAACTGCCAAACTCTGAATCTGTTTTGCTTTCACATTAACACATTAAGCCTCTCTCACAGTCAGAGTAGGACATTATCCTCACATTTAGCTACAACAAACTCACTTCAGAAATGTATTTATCAGTGATGACTCCTGCAAACTCTGCAGCCATCTTCAGCCTGTGCTTCCTTTTCACCCGTCTCCCTGTTGTCGGATTAGGGGTGTACAATTACAGATTTTTGGCCAAAGAGAGGAGCCGTCCTAGAAGGGGGAAGAATGAGGGAAAACTGCTTTTGAAGAGCTGCACCTGAAAACCTGTCAAATAGCTTACAATCAAACCCAAACTAAATAATGTGGGGTGTCTCTATTATTTTGTCTGCATTATATTTCATAAGTGTTTATGCTACGCTGACCAGTCAAATCAAATAGCACACAAAGTGCATACGCTGTGTTTGGTCATTAAAACAAATGTGTATGTTTTAAACTGGGAATCCATCTGATAAAAAAATATTTTAGAGAACTACTTTGACCCTTGAAGTGGATATTAGAGTGGATTAAGAAGGAGAGTGACGACATCTCTGACTCTATAAACAGACTGTTTTTAATGGTGGATCATGGGAACGTTGAATAGTTCCAAACATTAGGAGCAGCGCCATCGTGTTACAATGACCTGGCTGTTATCTTATAAAGAAAGATGTTGAAATCACTAGAAATAATTATACTTGACATTTTAAGTTAGCGACGTGTCAAAACACATTTACATTTATACACATTTCACAACATTTTTGACTGTCGCCCTCAAATAGTGGGTCACTTTAATAATTAGCTACCTAGCTAACTAGCTAAATTGGCTGAGCCATCTGCAACAACAGAACACTGAATTAGTTTGCAAAGCTGTACAAGTTAAATGCAGTCATTTCATGATAAATCTTGTAGTTTCCTACAGAAACCAGTGGCTCTGAATGCACCGTTTGGAACTATTTAGCTACATGACTCACATGACTTGCTACCATTCAATGCTGCAACTCTTCTATCTTAAAGGCTCTGGTGGATTCCTGATAGTTTATCTAAGAAGAGAATGAGGTTAGCCTGCATGTTGCACACTTACAGTAAAAGTGAAAAACATGTATAGGTGGATTCACACCAGACTACATTCAAATCTGTTGAAATTGAATGAACAAGCCTTTAGTAAGTTCCACTTCATTTAAATGTTGATGCATATCCTCACTCCACTGACCAGGTTTGTCATCCGCATGGGTCAGGTGACTTTATGTTGGTTAAATATCTCAACTGATCACGAGGGAACACAGCTGAACAGACACACTGACCACAACAAGAACGACTTTGTAACCTCACGTTATTTCTGATCTGGATGCTGCAGCTGAAATCAAAACATGTCTATGATATACAGTAGCTGATACTCTGCAGTATAAACGCCTGCACCCTGGTTGTATCAGGACGCCCACAGCCTGTCCTCTACCTCGCAGACATGACCCTGATTGAAAAAGTTGTTCATTCACATTTTAACTTTCCCTATTTTGCCTGCAACTACTAGTCCGGTCAGATTTTTACTTAGTAAATGATCTTGTTGTCATAGTTACTGCCTTTACTCTCATTTATCTGTCATAAGTTGGATATGAATTTATTTCATTGTCAAGATATAGTTTTAAATATATAGTTAGTTGAAGTGTGGCCTCTCATTTTTTACCTGTGGGAACAGTGTGT